CGCTAAAATACGCCTTTTATTTTAAATTAGGAAATCGAGCGACCTGTCAATCGCTGTCAATATTTATCATAGTTTGATGTACCCTCTAGTTAACTGCACCAAAATTTCGCGTATATTTTGAAAAAAAAAAACCCTATTATTTATTTTAACTTTAATTGCTTCCGTTCCATGTTCGTCAATAGGGCAATCCAATTAAAATGGCGGCCAATGCCGAAAAATTGGCGCCATAAATTTAATTCAAACAACCGTAACATTTTTCATCAAAAAACTGTTTTTTCTGCGATTGACAAGAAATGTCAGCATTTTTGACCGGTTGACAGGTCGCAAAACTCAATATTATATCAATTATGTTTCAATAGTTGCTAAGGAATCAATGAATAACAATACTGGAATCACTTTTCCGGCCTAGGTCTAGGGAAAGTGATTCTCGTACTGCTGAATAATTGGAACAAAAAGACAAACATTTAACAGATATTTAACCTGACGCAGAAAAAATAGTATGTGTATTTCGGTGGAAAAGCACATTCTCGGCCTTCGGTGTTTGCCGGCCTCGGCTACGCCTCGTCCGTCAAGTTACACCGTCGGCCAAGAATGTGTCACTTTTCCACCTAAATACACAATATACTATTTTGAGTATTTTGTGTATTTTGTAGTGTTTTTAGATGATTTTCTAGTAGGTACTTGGAAGGATAATTTTCGTATTGTAAGATGAAGAGTTTTTAGTTTACGAAATATTATCAGTGAAAAAACTGATGGATGTTTGCAAAAATTATGATTTCTTCGTGACAAACCTTTACCTACTAAACAATTAGGTAGGTAGGTAGGTACTATGGTACTATCCAACATTTGTTTCCTGTTTAATTTTTTCCCAATAAAATCCTGAATCCTGCTGATGTATATTTTACATTTTACTTGTCTGCTATTCAAGATATCGACACAAGTTGATGTGGAGGATAGTAAATGGCTTGGATCCATACACCGTTTATGTAGAGAGACTTTTTGGTTTTCTAATATGGATTTCGTCAAATTTTTCCTCTTTTGCTACGATCTATGAAGCCCTTAGAGAGTAAAGGCAAAGACAAATCGTTTTTCTCATAAATCATAAGAATACATTATTTAAAACCTATATCAGCGAAAAAAACAATTTTTTTTGTCGCAAACGGCCACAATAAGGAATTAAAAATTCGGAAAAATTCAAATTATTTCCAGCGGGAAAAAACGCTCTGTTACTGGTCGTGACGTCATCTAGTATGATCTGTCAGTGTCTGTCAGCAACTGTCCATCATACCGTGAGTTCGTCTTGAAACACTGAGCGCTCGGAGCATTTTCGTCTTTTTTTCTTATCATGAGAAGAACAGGGATAAAAGAACAAAACAGCAACTCCGAGCGTTTACTCGAACTCTACCCAATAAATACCCGTTAGCTGTGTTTATTTACGTTTTTCTCTGATTTTTTAAAATTTTATCATTATTAGAATTGGTTTACTTAGCTTAAATTCAATGATTAGCTTAGCATTATATAAATAAAACGATATACCTATTAATTATGACCGAAGAAGGAAATTCCAAAGGCCAATCCGCCAATCTGTAATAGGGAACTTGCAAGTGAACTAAAATTTTCCAAATTTGTTTTAAATCGATAGTTTATACTGCACTATATTTATATGACCAGGGTTTATTTAACTGATACCTCCCTTGTTACACAAAAAATGATACTAAATTTGAAATAAAAAATTTCCCGCCAAAACAATGCTTCCATGATGGCTCCTTTTTTGACGTCACGATTCTGTAAACAAACCTGTCAATAGGGAATTTTGCAAGTAAAAAAAATTACAAAAGCAGTCCTTTACAATATTCTTCTTCCATTGCGACAATTTTCTCAAAAAGCAAACTTTAACACATTTGAATAACACAAAAATAGCACTGCGTCAGCAGGAGTTCGTTTGCTGCGTATTTGTTGTTTACAAAATCTTAACGTCACAAGCGCTGTCATATTAAGATTTCGTGTTTTCGCGCCAAACTTTTTGATTTGAATTTCAATAATTTTTTTTTCGTAGTACGTATAAATTAAAATGGAAAAAAAGAAAACTATGTAATAACTGAGCACTAGAAGAAGTATGTAAAAAAAAATAATTTGAGAAATATGAAAATTCCCTATTTGTGATATGTTTATAGTAGCAAAAGTAAGTATGTGCGAATCTTTTATTCCATTATAACTTAAAAATTTACAACTCGCCGCAACCCAAAACAACAACAAAACAAATAACGAACGATGAAAAATGTGGAAATCAACCAAATTAAGGGCGGGTATTATAAAACTACTTTGAAAGTTAACTTAAAGTTAACTTCTGGAATTACATGTAATTCAAAAAGTTAACTTCAAGTTAACTGTCAAAGCGGTTTTATAATACCCACCCTAAATACAATGAAGTATGACGTTTGACGACAAGGTGAAGCCGGCGTCACACGATGTGTCGAATGCCTTCCAACGTTGGACACATAGCGATTTGTAGCATCGTGTAGCCGTGCGCTCATCGGATACATTTTCCCAATTTGCCGAATGCTAGAGCAAAAAACACTGTACCCAACGTTGAATCTAACGTTGGGGCCAATGGTTGGACACATCGTGTGGCGCCGGCTTAACGCAAAATCATACTACGTGACGTCATCCAGATTCGCGCGCATTTAAGGTCGTTTGAAATGCTTTTAATTCGCGCGAAACTTTAAACATTTTTCACCAAGTTATTATTGAGTTGTAGGTAGGGTATAATATTTGGGGAATACTTTTTCAAGGCATAAATAAATGATTTAAAAAAATAAAATAGTTATTTATGTATCAAGGGTACTAATAAGTAGATGATTATGCCCTGAGGGCGACAGCCTTACAAAGCCGAGGGCCTCTGGCCCGAGGGTCGTAAGTCGCCCGAGGGTATATATCTATTAGTACCCGTGGTGCATACAAACTTTTATGTCATACCAGGGGGACTTTATTTGAAATCGATGCAACTTTGCGTACACGCAAACGACGTCATTTGCGGCGTAATTGTCAACCCGATGTTTAGAATGGTATACATTATGCCCGCGCGGGCCAGAATGTGTACTTTATGCCCGCACGGGCATAAAGTGATGAATTATGTAGGTGTAATAATGTACTGGTATGACATAAAAAAAATTGTAAAGTTCCCTATTAAGTACAATACATAATGTATGCATTTTCCAAAAAACAGTATATTGTGTATTCAGGTGGAAAAGTGACACATTCTCGGCCGACGGTGTAAGTTGACGGGCGAGGCGTAGTCAAGGCAGGCAAACACCGAAGGCCGAGAATGTGATTTTCTACCGAAATACACATACTATTTTTTCTGCGATCGGTTAAATATCTGTTAAATGTTTGTCTTTTTGTTCCAATTATTCAGCAGTACGAGAATCACTTTCCCGGCCAAGGCCGGAAAAGTGTTTCCCGTATTGTTATTCATTGATTCCTTAGCAACTATTGAAAAATAATTGAAATACCAGAATATTGAGTTTTGCGACCTGTCAGCCGGTCAAAAATGCTGACATTTCTTGTCAATCGCAGAAAAAACACTTCACAGTCGTTATACGAATCAAAAATCGCAATAAAACGGAATTTTTTTAAAATAAAAAGGCATTGACCTCCATTTTGAATTTTTTTTTGACAGGTGGTTGGATTGCCCCTGTTGTATTTCTTTCACACCTAGGAGGGCCTCCGGAACAGCTCCGGGGCTTCACGCGCTTATTCTTTTCTAAAAGTTTTTGTTGCACCACGCATCTGTTCCCTGCAAATCGGGGGAGACTGACCACCGGAGCGAGTAACTCGAGTATTTCAAACTCTTGAAAGGAATACAACTATTGATTAGGTGGGTAGAAACTTTAAAATAATATTACCAAAACATACAATTTTTTATCTAGAGCCGCTTTCCACCTGACCATTTTGAGCACGCAATCGAGCTTTTGCGCACGCAAATGCTTCAAGCGCGTGTTCGTGTTCCAGCCGTACTGCGCTTCGAGAGCTGTTAACTTTTGCGTTTCAAACACAGAACACTGTGCTGCACCGTACTTGAAGCACAAACAAGTCAGCTGGAAAGCGGCTTAGGTTTACACCTGTCCCAATTTCCCCGCTCTCCGTTGTTCACAAGTGTTCTATTTTTTTGTTCTAACCAATCACGTTCTAACCGTGTTGCGGTTTGTTAAACCGGAGCCAAGTAAAGTGTAGTTCATATAGATGCGAATCACGAATTTCGAATTGCGGAGGCCGCTCCTATGGCTATAGCGATTTCTATTTGTCGAACCAGTGCAAAAAAAATGTATTCTTATCTTCACATGTTACATGCTTTTAGAAAAAGATGCGGATACACTCAGTGCGTACTAACTGCAGAGACGATGGCGATTTCCATTTGTCAATCAGTGCGCATTGAGTGTATCCGCATCTTTTTCTAAAAGCATGTAACATGTTACTGTATTCCTTTTAGCCGCTTTCCAGCTATGTGCTTCAAGCACGGTGCAGCACAGTGTTCTGTGTTTGAAACGCAAAAGTTAGCAAGCTCTCGAAGCGCAGTACGGCTGGAACACAAAAACGCGCTTGAAGCATTTGCGCGCGCAAAAGCTCGATTGAGTGCTCAAAATCGTCAGCTGGAAAGCGGCTTTCATACATCGAGTTACACCGAACGAGCTCCTCGGTGTCACTCCAAAATACACAATTCAGATTTTATCATTATTTCTTAATATTAACATTACCGTCATTACCTAAAAGGGCTTCTTGCACCCCTCGCAAATTTGGTGCATCAGGGGAAAGGGGGATGCTTTATGAGCGACTCGAGTGCTTAACGTACTTTTAAAAGGAACGTTCAAGCTTTTGACATTGAGCAGCTCCGAGTTACTCAACGGGTAAAAGGAATACAGTATGTAAGGATAAGTATACATTTTTTTTTGCATTGGTTCGACAAATGGAAAACGCTACGACAAATGGAAATCGCCATCACACAAATATTTTGCTTTTCAGGTTATGTCAAGTCAAAACTTTCATCTTTTCATAGACCCTAAAAAAAGCAATATTTTAATTTTAGAATCCATAAATCTACTCTAATAGCCCCAATTTGAATATGGAAGAATGTAAAGAATCTTCGCAGAAGAAATGGACCCACCTGCGGAAGGTTTTGGAGCGCCCCGGCCCTTTCAGTCACCCAGAATTCGAACCGTCCCCAGATATTTTGGATTTTATACTGTCGACTTGCAAAATCCTGATTGTAGGGGCCGGAGGCCTAGGGTGCGAACTACTCAAGGATTTGGCCATGATGGGCTTCAAGCACATACACATTATAGATATGGATACCATTGACTTATCAAATTTAAATAGGCAGTTTTTGTTTAGGTTGAAGGATGTTGGATTTTCGAAAGCAGAGGTAAGAATATTTAAGTACTGTAGACTCGAGATCGCTGAATTATCTGAGTTGAGTAATACCACTAATACCCAGGTTGAAATCTGTATTAACCTTAGAGCAGGTAAAGGTAAAGGAGTAGTAACCTGGATTTGGAAAATGAAGCCGTTTTTTTCCAGGTATTGTAGGCCAACAAAAAATGGCGGTTATGGCAATTCAATGCTCTACCTGTATTTTGGTGCCAAACACCTGCCAAAAACTTAGCTTCACTTTAGTTTCATAAGCAGAATGGCGCGTTCCTACTCCTGTCCGTAGGACAGCGCTTTACCTGCTCTAAGGTATTAACTAAAGAACGCCATAATATTTGAGCATCAGGCTTTGGCCTTAAGGTGGGTTTATACAGCACATAACATAACATAAGACATAACATAATATAAGAAATAAGAATTTTGTGGCGTTTATACAGAAAATAACAAAATAACAAAACATAAGAAATAATTTCTAACCAATCAGCTGGTACGTGTACTTATGTAAACTCTACCGAAAACACTATATTTGATCAAAAAATTAAAAATTAATAATTTAACAGAAACAGAAAATAAATATCGAACTCCAAAAAATTACCAATAGCTGAAAACAGAATCAAAATATATTTTTTTGGTTGGAATGTTTTGTTTACTACTCTGCCATTGCCGAAATCAAGGGAGGAGCATGCGCAGATCCGTTTTCACATAAAATAAGACATAAAAGTTAACCAACTTTCTTATTTCTTATGTTATGTTATGTTATGTTATGTTATGTTATGTTATTTTCTGTATAAACGCCATAAGGGGTTTCCATAAGCTCAACTTTTTATCTTATGTTATGTTATTTCTTATGTTATGTTATATGGCTGTATAAACCCACCTTTAGTAATTATGGGGTTTCCCAGAATTGCTGAAGCAACACAAACTGACTTGATGGGTACAGGGGAATCACTCGTTATTATATTTCTATCTGCAGAGGTGCTTTCCAGTGACCCATTTGAGTTACTCCTGAGCAGCTCAGGAGTGCTCCACAATTACTTTGCGCGTTCCAGTGCTTAGAGTGTCGTACACTTGAACTACTCATTTTTGTTATCCCTTGCCCCCTTGTGCACCAACCTTTACTTCGGTGTTTCATGCTCCTGAAGTGCGAAATGGTGGGGGTTAAAACGGGAGCGTTCCAGTGCTGCTTGTGTGGAACAGTTCAAGTGCGTCACACTCCAGGAGCATGATACTCTAACAATTTAGGCACTGGAAAGCGGCTGAGACCTAGGTGTTGCTGTTTGTATGTTTTTATCGAGGTTTTTATAAGTTGCATATTTCATACCCAATACCTCGCCCAATACATACATACATACATACCTACCTATGGTTTATTTTTTTCCAAGATAGATTTTGGCATTGTCAACTTTGAAACATAAACAATGCCACTAATGCCGCTTATTCGTCGCTTTTGTGAAACTGATGTCAACCCGCAGAAACACCTCATTTTGCAACAAATCAGGGTCAAGCGTTATTGTTTATGTTTCAAAGTTTTCAATGTCAAAATCTTGGGAAAAAATAAAGTGCAATACATAGTATGTAAAAAAATCCGGATTATCCGAGCCGCCAATTATTTGAGCTAGGGTACAGCCCACATTAGCTCGGTTAATTGAGAGTCGACTGTATTATTTCTATTTCTTTATATGAGTATAGTAGGAGTAGGTACAAAGCTCGGTAAAAAGTTGTTACTGGGTTAGGTTTACTTATTACCTCACTTATTACATACCTAAATTTCATACCAATTATATTATACTCATTTAAATTACACCTTAAATAATTGGTACTTGAAGGAAATAAAATTTCCTACAAATGGATATAATACATGATGTCAGTGTATCCAGTGGCGTACAAGCGGGCGAGTAAAACCTGAAGGCAACAGATAACTAATTATTGTTATGACCAACTACGTTAATTAGATGCATTAAAGCAATATTAAAATTCTGCCTTTAGTGCTAAGACAATAAAACCCGCAATAAAATATATTAGTTTTCATTGTTAAACGCTTAATTTATTTATATAAAACAGAATAGAGAAGTATTTACTTAATAAACAAATAAGGATAGTTGAAAATAACTGAGAAATTAAGTATCTATTTCATCGAACAGGTCTTCATCATCTACATACTATTGGAATATATTGCTGCGAGAGTTCCCTGACATTGAACACATAGATTAGAGCAATTCAGACCTGTTTTTCTGCAGCTATAGGGTTTATAACAGTCATTACAATATATCATTTTAAGAATAAATTCGGGAGCCACTGGTTTATCTGCTGTTACAGGCAAAAGACATTCGCCATGCTTTTTCCAACCCCAAGTTGTTGCAAGTAATGAATTGCCCAACCAATCTTGTATTTGCAGATAGACCCTCATACTGTGGTGAGCTGCAGCATCTGACGTAGGTGGTAAACATGCTAATTCAAATTTTTTATTCAAACTTTGTGTTGCTGTGCTATTACAAAATTTAACAAACTGAAGATCATCTAAGATTTTGACTGCTTTGCCAGTTACATCACGTTGGTCTGCTTTAGGATCCAAAAATACCATCCGATTGTTTCTCAAGTACCCTGTAGGTAGACAACTTTCCCTTTTTATAAATGGCAGAAGTAGTGTCACATCCGAAAATTGCGTGACAAAACAAAATCGAATTCTTTATGGATCATTAATCTAGAGGACAAATGCTAAACATTCCCGCAATAGTGAGCTTTAGGTGATTTTGTTCCAGCTTTACCACATAAAGCTTCATATCGTCTCTGGACTACTTTATTTGAGTTCAAATAAACTGTTTTATTTCTCCCTACTCCTGAAAAAAATCAATTGGCCATGAATTCTCAATGACCTTAATATTTCTCTTCTCTAGTCTTACATTATGAGAACTATGTATCAAGCTATCTAATCATTGTTCCTTAAATTTTGTATCTTCTGGATTACATAACAAATAAAATTTTACATTTGTTTAAATAGTCATTTGTTTATATAAATTATTTAAGGTTGCAGCTGACTTTGTTAATAAAAGAATTCAGGGGTGTCAAGTAGTACCGCACTGTTGCATGATTCAAGAAAAAAACCCACAATTTTATAGACAATTTCATGTGATTGCTTGTGGATTGGATTCCATATCTGCAAGACGATGGATCAATGGAATGTTGGTATCTCTTCTAGAATACGATGAGAACGATGTTTTAGATCAGTCTAGTATTATACCACTTGTTGATGGAGGTATATTTACTTGGCAGTTTTTGTTTCCTCATAATTATTGTATTTTTCTTCTTTTAAATAGGAACTGAAGGTTTCAAAGGAAACGCCAGAGTTATATTACCAGGCATGACAGCTTGTGTGGAATGTACTTTAGATTTATACCCTCCTCAAGTGACTTACCCTTTGTGTACTATAGCCAACACACCCAGATTACCAGAACATTGTGTGGAATATGTTAAAATGGTTCAATGGTCCAAAGGTATGTTGTTAATTTTTTTAAGTCTCCAGAAGGCGGGATTGTTTAAAAAAGGTGAAATTCTGGAGGGGTGGCCAATTCCATACAGACTGCCTTCTAAATTTTTGATTGGACGTTTTTGGTACTGTACAGGGTGGCCCAAATTCGAGCTTCATCATTGGGATCTCGGTAACCGTAAGAGATACTGGGTCGATTAAATTATGGCAAAGTTGCGCAATGTTATGACCAATAGAATGCCAGTTTGAAACTAGGAAGATTCCGAATACTTCCGGAGATATTCGGAAAAAAACAAAATTTTGTAAAATCGTTTTTATTTTTTCCCGGGCTTATTTGAAAAGCAATTTTAAAATAAATGTCACTTCATCGTTGTCACTTTTTCCCCGTTAGAAGATGGTGCTACTAAATTTAAAATTCGATGTTTCGTCTTCAGGCAGCCATCCTCAACTTCCTTTTTTTAAATACGGACCTGGATTTTTTATTTGCGGTTTTGTCATCTTTTGGCATCCTAAAACCGATACTGTTTATAATTTTTCAATAACACAGTAAAAAAAGCAGGTCCGTATTTAAAAAAAAAAAAAATTGATGATGATTCCAGAGGAACGAAACGTTGGATTGTAAATTTAATACCGCCATCTTGTAGAGAAAATAAAGTGACAAAGGGAATGTGAAATTAGTTTTTCAAAATCTTTTTAAATGGAATCAGGAAAAAATTTTAGAAAAACGAGAAATTCATGTTTTTTTTGTATAGTTTTCATTCAGGGTGGCCCAATAACTAGTGACACAAAGTTATGCTTTTTTAAATGACTCCCCCTGTATATTATGACATTTCTCGATTTTGTGGAAAATTTTAGACATATTGTATGTACAATGTCATATACCTATCTTCAACTGTTTCGGAAATATTGACAGTTGAAAATTGACTTGTTTGCATCTTTGACAGACTGTAAAACCTGAACGGTTAATTTTACAAGAAAACGGATTTTACATTCCTACTATCATTTGACACCGACCTTGAATTTAATCCATGATTAAAAATTCCGCCTAAATTATTAATCTTCGGTTAAATTCAAAGTTGGTGTCAAATGATAGCTTATAAAAATCTAAGATAGGAATGTGAAATACGTTTTCCTCTAAAATTAACCGTTTAGTTTCACAGTCTGTCAAAGATGCGAAAAAGTCAATTTTCAACTGTCAATATTTCCGTAACAGTTGAAGATATATATATGACATTGTACATGAAATATGTCTAGAATTTTCCGCAAAATCCAGAAATGTCATAATATACAGGGGGAGTCATTTAATAAAACATAACTTTGTGTCACTTATAGTTATTGGGCCACCCTGTATACTGGAAAATAATTTAGGAATGTAGTACTCATGTTTATCTACAAGTTTTGTATTTAGTTTCTTCTTCGATCTCCATTGGTATAGGAGATATGGACGACCGCGAGCTTAGTAACTCACCCTGTATATATTTTTTTGAACATTGGCATTCTTATGTTTGTTTATATTTATTTTAGAAAATCCATTTGGAGTGCCTCTAGATGGAGATGATGCCCAGCATTTAACCTGGGTCCATGAAAAAGCCAGCGAACGAGCCAACCAATTCAATATACAAGGTGTTACTTTTAGGCTAGTGCAAGGGGTGGTAAAAAATATTATTCCCGCAGTCGCGTCCACTAATGCCGTAATTGCTGGAGTTTGTGCCACTGAGGTTAGTTTTTGTAATTTTTAAACTGAGACTTAATTAATTGTTTTTAGGTTTTCAAATTAGCTACTAGCTGTTGTACACCTTTGAACAATTTTATGGTATTTAATGATATTGATGGTATTTATACTTACACGTACGAAGCTGAGAAAAAGGAAAATTGTACTGTTTGTTCCAATATACCACATCCAGTTACCATAGAAGATCCTTCAAAAATGAAATTAAAAGATTTGATTCAGTTTCTATGCGAAAACCCTAAGGTAACTTGATAATTTGTGAAGAAATTGATACTCACCTATCCTTTATAGTTCCAAATGAAAAATCCTGGCCTCACAACCAACATAGATGGAAAAAGTAAGACCTTATACATTCCTACCATTGATGTTATCGAGGCTAGAACGAGACCGAATTTAAGTAAAACTCTTCTCGAATTGGGACTGTCTGATGGTCAACAAATAATTGTCGCAGACACAACCACTCCAACCTCTGTGATTCTCAAACTCGTCTATAGCATAAGTGATATTGAAATGAAAACCTAATTTATTTTAATATATTTTTTCCCAATATGTATTATACTTTTTGAATTAATGAATAAATACGTCTGCAACTCTATTTGTGTGATTAGGTATTTATTGGTGAGGAGCAATAGTTTTCTATGAATCTACATGTTTTTTATAAAAACCCCCTAGCTATTTTAACTTCCAATAAAAACTCTGAAAGTAAGGGGTCAGGAAACCTTGGCTAATGAAAGGAATGTCAGCAAAAGACATGGAAAATGGAAAGTATTCATTACCTACATTGGGAAGTTCCATTTCACCAATGTTGTTTTTGTTAACTTTTTTTTGAAGATTAATTCCATGATGATCATCCATGTTGAGAATTCCTTCTCATTTCCCATCATAATAAAGTAATTGGATTGGTGCAATAAATTCTTTATTACTGATTACTGCATTCAATTAATTCCCCTCCGTCAAGTTTCCAATGTATGGTTATTTTAAGAAAAGTTAATTCATACTCCCTTGCAGGGACGGACTGGGTTCTGAATTTACGGCGGGCGATTTTCTACATGGGGCGCCATCACCAAGAAAAAGTTGAAGTAAGTACGAGGTGTCCCACGGTGGATGGCGTATTAGACGTTAATGGAAAACTGAAAAGCGGATCATTTTGAAAATTTGGCTGCCGGGATATACACATTAAAAATATTTTTGTTTATGAGGTGTTGCCGCTTCTACTCTAAACCAGTGGCAACATTGCCATTTCAAATGGAACAACCTGTATGTGATTGCATATTTGGATTCTATATAAAATTCTGAGCAGATTTCATGTGATATACCCTATACCTAAATTCAACTGTTTTGGAAATATTGACAGTTGAAAATTGACTTTTCGCAACTTTGACAGGCTGTAAAACCTGAACGGTTAATTTTAGAGGAAAACCAATTTTACATTCCTGTTTTAGATTTTTATAAATTATCATTTGATACCAACTTTGAATTTAATCCATGATTGAAAATTCCGATTAAATTTAATCTCTGGTTAAATTCAAATTTGGTGTCAAATGATAGTTTATAAAATTCTAAGATAGGAATGTAAAAAAGGTTTTTCTCTAAAATTAATCGTTCAGGTTTTACAGTCTGTCAAAGTTGCAAAAAGTCAATTTTCAACTGTCAATATTTCCAAAACAGTTGATTTTAGGCATAGGTAAATCTGCTCAGAATTTTACGTAGAATCCAAATATTCAATCACATACAGGGTGTTCCATCTAAAATAGCGATGATGCAACTGGTTTAGAGTAGAAGCGGCAACATCGCATAAACAAAAATATTTTTAAAGTGTAGATTATGATCGTTTATCCCGGTTACCAAATTTTCAAAATAATCCGCTTTTTAGTTTTCCATAAACGTCTAATACGCCATCCACCGTGTAAAGGGTCACTTGAACCTGGGAACTTTTTCGATACCGTGGAAAAATCGGCGGATTTTGCTGGCTTTGTACTGGTTTTATGCTGGTTTAGCTGATTTTGTGCTAGTTTTCACTGGTTTTGTGCTGATTTTCACTGTTTTTCACTGGATTTATGTTGGTTTAGCTGGTTTTGTAAAATTCGGCCCAAAATCTGCTATACCAGCAAACAACAGTGAAAACCAGAAAATCCAGCAAAAAAACAGCTTATTCAGCCTGAAACCGTGAAAACCAGTACAAAACCAGCAAAATTCACCGATTTTCCCACGGTATCGAAAAAGTTCCCAGGCTCAAGTGACCCTATACCTACTCGTTGAAAGTTAGGCTAATCATGTTATCGACAAGAATAAATTACCGAACCTTTATTCGTTTTCCAAGAAAAAAATCAACATTTTATTGAGGTTTTCGCTAGTTTTAGCAACATTATTGATAATTTCGTTATTGTCCAACGACATAAGTGAATTTTTTTCCACAGACATTATCATAAACACTTCCAGGTGATTTGGGTTACTTCGTAATTGATTTAAATATTGTTCAGCTTTTTGAGCTTCGATCACGACTAATTTGCACCTGATAGTCGACAAATATTTGTAAGCTTTCGAAAGTATTGGATAAGCATATGCGTGAAGGTTGACACGGTCCAAGTGTACGTGGATCAAGTACCCTTGGACGCTGTGCGCGCGTCACTTGGACGATACTGGGATGGTACCAACTGTTAATCCAAGTAAGTAAGCGTGCTTCCAACTTGATCCAAGTTCTCATCCAAGTACACTTCGACCAAGCACTTGGACCGTGTCAAACTGGTTCTAAGATTGAATTTGATTGATAGCCTGTAACTGCAATAAATACAGTTTTTGCAAGACTTGCAAACTGTTGCACTGGTAATCTGCTCTATAATCTTCACTAGAACGAATACACGAGGAGAGCGCAAGGCATGAGCAAGATGGTGCTTGTCGGGCGGAAGGCTCTCGGCACAAGAATAGCATGACGGTTGGAATACAACCCTAACCTAATTCACAGAGACTTCCTCTATCGGGCGCGGTAAAAGTCTCAGAATTTAATATAAAACTTCAATGGAAACTCGAAATTCTTATTAATATGAGAGCACTAAATTAATAAGTTATCGATATTCCGAATTTATTAAAAAATATTTTTAAACCTTACTTTGATATTATTTATATTTTATAACTAAACAATGCCGACGGGGCGCTAAATCTTAAGGGCGCGGCGGGCTCCGCCCGCCAGCCCTCCAGGCCAGTCCGTCACTGCTCCCTTGACAAGTTCTATTCATTATTTTTATTTATTTATTCACAATAACTGCCTTACAGGTTTTAAAACCCTCTACAAGGCAGAATACGCATACATCGGTAGTCGGTACAATACAAAAAAACTTTCAAATACTTACCTACTTAATGCACGTACGTAATAATACACATAAGAACAAACTACTCCAAAATGAGAATAAAGGAAATACAAAAAGTAGAAATTGCTAAAATTATCTGTACAAAAAAACAACAAAATACTGCAACAAACCAAGCAGAGCAAAGTTTTTCAGTGATCAACAACAACAATGCGACATGGAAGCTCGATTTGCGTTAAACAAATCAATATTGCTTTCCTCATTAAAAACACTACATATGTTTATGTTATATACATAGAAGCACGTCGGTTCTAGGAGTTGAGAGGTGGAATAAAGCATGATGGCGACAGCCTAAACGAGGGATCAAAAACCTTGAAAGTCTTGGAGATTGTTCCCATACATAAACTCAAAATATCTCCTAAGATGCCCTTTCTTCTTTACTACAGCTTCAATCCCGCATCAGAGTCCCGATCAACAGCAAGAGATAATTTTCCAAAATCATTTGAACCCCTTCCTGAAGCCTTTTGATTAAAATCAATTTTACTTTTCAGCTCTGTCGACTTTTTGTCAAGATCTTTGAATTTTTGCTCTGGAGAATTTCAAATACAAAATTTGAGCAATTTTTCTTGATACCTAGTAGTTCCTTATCCCCATTTACTATCTGTCCACTCTCTAGCGTTCTTTACAAAATATTTTGTCCATCTGGTTAATTAATGCCATCGTTCTTACCATTTCCTTCAAAGAGTTTCCATTGCCTTATTTTTATGCTCCTTACCATTCTTGTGTGATATGTTTTGTGTAATGTGTTTTTCCCTTCCTTGTACGACCTAAGTCTATGGGTGGTAGGACCGGTATATCTACCCAAGTCGTGAACCACCCCTCCAAATTTGTACAAACAATTCCTCATACGGTAACTGTTTATGAAAAATTCCCCATATTCCTAGCAAATTCCACCAAAGTCCCTGGAAATTCCTCCAAATTTCCACAAATTCCCCCAAACGCCTCGCAAATTCTCCACAAATGTGTCCCAAATATCCCGCAAATGCCCCATACAAATTCCCTAAAATCCCCATAATTGCTTGTGCGTGTGATGTTTGATAAGAAATTTACAAGGAAATTTATTTATTTATTTTCATTTCGCCCAGTGAAACACAAAACGCAAGAGCGGTCAAGTAAGAATAGTAGTACCTTTGTGTAATCCTCAGATTTATCTAACTTTCATTAATTTTTTTTTCTTCAAGCTTGCGGTACTGACCTCACCTGATCAGTTTCCTCCACTTTATTGACGTCAGAATCAACAATAAATTTTTGCTCGAATTCTTTTTCACTTGTATCTTGAGTAATTTTACCGACCTCGGAACAATCGTCGTCACTTGATGACGTTTCTGGTTGTTGCAGTTTTTTTTTTGGACATTTTTATTCTTCCCCACTGCCTCGAGTTCTATCTTGAATTGATAAAAATTTTGGTGTTTTTTTGGTTTTTATCTTGTTGGTAAGTGGAAATCATGGAATCTCCTTAATCTATCCGTGCTTTCTCTTCCATTCCCTTCTGAAAGTAGCCAGTTAATTCATAAATTTCCCAAAAAACAATTTCCTTGTTTTCACACTCGATTTTCAAAAATTGGCTAGGTATCTTCCGAAATGTCCTTTACTTTATAAGAATAATCCCTCAAATTTGTCTCAGGTAATGATGCTTCGGTTCCTTTATTTTCATCACTCTCATCATAAAGGATTAGTCCCCAGTACATCGACCCTAAAATTTTGTAACTCATGTACACGCCAAACTTCCTGAGCGGCTTCATAATACCAAGTCGGACAATATTTTTCATATCTCCACCCTGGGCGATGGGACATTGCCGCGCTAGCTCTTCGTGAAGTTGTCGTTCTGACGTCCCTAAGGAAGTTGATACATGTACGCAGTGGCGCAGCCAGGGGGCCCGGGCCCCCCCAAGGCTCCAGACAAAAATAGAAAAATAACAAAGTAGACGAGCTTGTAAACTGCTCATATCAGAAAAAGTTTAATGGAAAGCGAATCTGTGTTTTTTCCTATATTTTTTTCTACATGGCCCCCCCCAGACAAAATTTCTGGCTGCGCCACTGCATGTACGTGTAGTTTCATTGCCAATCGACTGTTTTTTATATTACATTAACGATATCACATTTGTCGGACAAAAACCATGTGGCTTTGGGGAAGGTCCGACGCCCTCAACATGTCGCTGTGGCGTCCCTGAGGAAGTTGATACATGTACGTGTGGTTTTGATGCCAATCGACTGTTTTCTATGTTACATTATTGATATCACATAGGTCGGACAAAAATCACGTAGTTTTGGGGGGGGGTCCGACGCTCCCAACATGTCGCTGTGGCGTCCCTAAGAAAGTTGATACATGTATGTCCGACAAAAATAATTATGAATAACAATGTAATTTTGAAACATGTGTAGTAAATGTCGGACAAATAAAATGAGTATTAAAGTCAGTCGGACAACAAAAGTCCTTTTGATCAATTTCTGCCGAAATTCAAGATCTTCACTCCTGAGATTGCACAAAAAACACGACGGAATATCCATTCTTTCTCACAGGCGTGGTTTTGAATGACCGTTCACTAAATAATTGCCGTAAATACTCGAAGAACTATATATATATAAAAAACAGATAAGGGAATATGACACAGGGCCCCACAGGTATTTGACAAAGTAGGTAAATAATAAACTGACTAATATGCACGTTGCGTTAAGGCAAGGTCAAATTCCTTAGGGACGCCACAGCGACATGTTGAGAGCACTGGCGGATCCAGGATTTTCTTCAGAGGGGGACGCAGGCTAAGAATTATCAACAATGATTTGTTGAAAATTTATTTTTACTTTACTTATACGTTAAAGGATGTAGATACAAGGTGGTCCAATTTGGACACTTTTGAATATCTGAAACGTCAATTTTTGAGCCAGATACATAAAAATGAACTCCCCGCCAGACTGCTGAGGCTCAAATTTAATGATATCTTGATTGGTGTTTCTCGATTTTAAGCGATAAGATGAAACCTTCTTAACTTTTTTATTTATGAAAATAATTGATTTCTGTATAAACTTTCTGGAGGTACTTTTCCATGCAGAATTCAATGACGTACTTTTTATATATGTCTTATTTTTTTAATAAAAAAACCTATACAGGGTGGGGCACGAAAAACTTCCCACCCATAGTTTCTCAGGTGTTTAATCAAAAATCGCTCAGACACGTCAATTTTTTTGGGGGACACATTTTATTGGTATTTTCACCTCCTACCTGTCAACCCTTAAGTTGGGGTAACAGGTACCTACCCCCAAAATTTCAAATGAAAAAAGGGTTCGAGTGATATGTCATTTGGTAGCAATTTTCATTAAGATTATATCCCCGAAGTTTTAAGTTGCTACTATTTACCCTGCCGAAATGGCGGCATACCAAAGTTAGGAAAGATTTCGAGGGATTATTGACTGTAACAAGATTTTTGATTTAGAGCGATTTAGAGGGATTTCGGTTGATTTCGAAGGATTTCGGGTAATTTCGAAGGATGCCATGATTTCGGAGAATCTCCAGGTGATTTCACAAATATTTTAATTTGATTTTAGACTGATACTTATCTCATACTCATAAGTATATTCGAAAGTGTATATTATAGTATAAACTGAAAAACGCCCGAAAACAAATTTTGGGCCAATTGCGAGGGATGACTTCTGAAAGATTTCGGCGGATTTCGGAGTGATTTCGTGGATTTCGGAAAGATTTCGGGGATTTCGGACGAATTTGTGACACGATTTCGGGGAGTGATTAACCCCTCGGGAAAACTCGAACAAAAAAGATAAACCTATCGAACTTTATATCACTGAAAGCAGCAAAAGCAGAGCTATTCAATCGGTAATTATTAATATATCGGGTGTCCAATGTCCCATCAAAACAATCGGACTCTGGTTAATATCTCGAATTCGGGAATAAATAAAAAAACTGAGTAAGTCACTGGATTCTCTAGTCACAAAACGGTTCACAATATCATAAAATTTGAGCCTCAGAGTGGGGGTTTATTTCTTTGTATCTCGCTCAGAAATTAACGTTTTCTATCAAAAGTGTCCAAATTGGACAACCCTGCACATATCAAAAAACCGAAAATAACAAATAAAAATACCTATTCCAAATAAAAATATAGGACATTTATCTGATAAAAACAAAACGATAAATTGAACAATAGTGTAGCATGGACAATTTTCCTATAGCATTTTATTGGAAAATTTTTCCATGAACTTTTATTGGAAAATTCTTTTATAAAATTTTTCTGATTAAAAAAAAAAAAATTAGTAGCTTTTGAGGCTCTGAGGGGGGGGCGCGCGCCCCCCCACTGGATCCGCCACTGGTTGAGAGCGTCGGACCCCCCCGAAGCCACGTGATTTTTGTCCGACATATATGATATCGTTAATGTAATACAAAAACCAGTCGATTGGCATTAAAACTACACGTACCATCGTCACCAAAAGTATCTGGGACAAAAATAATTCATATTAATCTCCTGGACTAAGTCTACTGTCATTCATTTCAATGCATTTAATTCATAATTTGACAAATATTTGACACTAAAAATCATATAATAGTACAAGAGCTAATATGATGCTGTCCCAGTTACTTTTGGTGACGATGGTACATGTATCAACTTCCTTAGGGATGTCAGAACGACAACTTCACGAAGAGCTAGCGCGGCAATGTCCCATCGCCCAGGGTGGAGACATGAAAAATATTGTCCGACTTGGTGTTATGAAGCCGCTCAAGAAGTTGGGCGTGTACATGAGTTACAAAATTTTAAGGTCGATGTACTGGGGACTAGATACCTATCCGTCAAATTGTTGTTTCCAATAATAAATACTATCAGTCCCCAGTACATCGAACTTAAAATTTTGTAACTCATGTACACGCCCAACTTCCTGAGCGGCTTTATAACACCAAGTCGGACAATATTTTTCATGTCTCCACCCTGGGCGATAGTTACTAAATTTTTGACATGGGGAATTATCTTTAAATAAAAAACAAACTTTATGGTATAGTATTTGTAATACCCATTTAGAATAACCCCATCCTTATTTATCAATCACGAATCAGATGAAACAAAAAATTACCAACAAAAACGAACGACGATTGCTAATACGTCAATTTCATGTACAAATAGGAAATTCCTAACCTAATTTCATTTGTGTGTCAAGAAGCGACATACGTTTTGTCACTAGAACGACTGGTACTTTTAAATAGGTCTTAAAAATACTATAGGTATATGTGATTAAATAATACCGTAAAGTCTGTTTTTTTTTTAAAGATAATTCCCCAAGTCAAAAATTTAGTAACTATGTTGGCAACACAAGCCTTTTCTACATAAAAAATTTGGAAGCATTGACAATTTTACATTGTATTGCCAACATAATGTCATTTTGACTTTTATCTTTAAAAAAAAAACAGATTTTAGATTTCCATTAGAATTTCCTGTATGTTCATCTCGTCATCATTACCGTATGGCTCCTACCCCCTATACCATCAATTAGTCTAATAAGATATTTTCGGTCTCTTACGCTGCTTTCTCT